AAAGGAGAATGGAAAAGATAGAGAACTTAAGGTACAATGCAATATATAAGAAGATAAAGGCAAAGGAGGAGTAGGAGTACCTGAAAAAGGATATGTCAGCTAAAGATAAGAAAATAATAGCGAGGTTTAGGTGTGGAAATGAGTGCAAAGGCAGGGAGTATTGGAAGAAGGAAGAGGTTAAAAAATCTAGAGTATGCAAAGTTGGAGAGGTGGACCTTGTGCATATAGTGGAGGAGTGTGAAGAAACGAGGAATGAAGAAAGGTTGGAAAATATATTACGCCAGGATGCAAAAGGGATAGAGGTATTAAGAAGAGTTATAAAGAAAAGAAAGGAAGCAGAGAAGAAGGAAGAAGAAGAAAGAAAAGAAAATGCCGTATAACACTTCTAAGATATAGACCGTATGCTCCGTTTTATTATATGTATCTACGCATTTTGTAGCGATTGTTGTCCAAGAATTTTTTTTCTTCTTTTCCATCTATTTTAAGTCTTATTCTATTTAATAAAGTTTGGTTCAATCTTTCGTTTAAGCTGTCCGAAAACGTTGCATTGACTACTGTAAACACTAGTTTGATATCATTCTCATCGAGGAAGTCTATAAATTTTCTCGAATTTATTCCTGGTTATTGATCCGCCAATATAATTCCAATTCTATCTGTTTTCCACACATTCCGAACAAATTTAATAAAATAAGTAGAATTTTCTGCCCTAAATTTTAGAATGAATGCGTATTTTGTGTAGTGATCGACTGATAGGTTCAGGTATTCTTTCGTAAATCTCTGTCCTCCAAAGTCAACAATATTTTCTTTAGACATTATTTCAAATTATTTAGTTGTTGACCTCAAGTGGGACACTAATCCTAATTTTCTTTGGCCTCTTATTTTTGTTCTTGATGCATATGTCACAATTTCAACATATTTTCTTTATATTTTCTTTCAAGTTTCTAGCTGTATATTAAGAACATATTTTACTTATTGTTTGTCTGATTCCCGTGTGAAACCATTCAGAGTCTATTTCTGTTATTAATTCTATACTTAGCTTTTTAGATAAAATTAATATTTTTTTATTTTTAACTTTTTTATAGAACATTTCATCTTTTTTTATTAATTTTTCTCTCCTTTTTTGAATCATTTTATTGTTTTCCTGATCTATTTTTATTTCATTTACGTTTATAAAATTAACTATTTTTAGTACTTTTTCATTATCTTCTGTTAGCTGCAATACCGAATTTCGGTTTATGCAATCCGCTTCAATATTAACTTTGCCTAGAATTTATCTTATTGGGAAGTTATATTGTGACAGATAATAAGGTAACTCACCGAATTCTTCATCTGCCCTCGCTTTATTATTAATGTTTTCTAGCGGCTTATGTTCTGAATGTACTTCAAATCGCCTTCTAATCAGCAAGTGTCGCCAGTATTTTACTGCTTTTTTGATAGCCAGGCATTCTAAATATATCGCTTTTTTCCTTTTCTATATATATAAAATTTTTTGTAACGGTAAAAACTAATTGCAATAATAATGTACATAGTTTAAAACAAAAGAGATTAAAGCGACCGTTTTTCGTTAAGAAAGCATTAACATGTAAGAAAAAAATAAACATAATAAAAGTTTTTCCACATTTTTTTGTTTTTTCTTAATTCTGCCAGAAAGTTTTCCAAAATAAACAACCATCAATTTCTTTTTGATATTTTTTTTTTTTGAAAATACTTTTTACTTTTTTCATATTTACTTTCAAAAAAAAGGCACAAAAGGTACATTCTTTTGTAGTTTCTATAGCTTGCGGACATGAAAATGACGAAAAAAAGGATTAAATATTATATCAAATATATAAAAGTGTTTATAACGGAAAAAACTAATTGCAATAATACTCTACATTGTTTAAATCAAGAGATTAAAACGATCGTTTTTCGTTAAGAAAGCATTAACTATTAAGCAAAAAGTAAACAATGTAGGAGTAATTCTACTTTGTTTCGTTTTTTTTTATTCTGCCGTTAAGTTTTTTAAAAAAAACAACCTCTCTAATTGTATTTGAAATTTTTTTTTGAGAAAATACACTTTGACTTTTACATATTTACTTTTAAAAAAAAGGCATAAAAGGTACAATCTTTTGTAGTTTTAATAGCTTTCGAACATGAACATTACATAAAAAAGGGATCATATAGTTTATTAAATATATACAATGTTGCTTGTAACAGTAAAAATTTATTTTATTAATACAATGCATAGTTTAAATCAAGAGATCAAAACAACCGTTTTTTGTGAAAAGAGCATTAACTTTAAAGCATAAAGTAAACAATGTAGAAGAAATTCTACTTTTTTTTGTTTTTTTTTTTTAATTCTGCCAGAAAGTCTTTAATCCAGAAAGCAACACAATTTTTGTTAAATATATTCAGAAATTTTTACAGACAGTTTAAAATATGCTATTAGAAACTAAATAGATTGGATGTCAGATTAACTACAATTGATTTTCGTCAAAAAAGAATTGAATTCTACACGTAAATTAAACCAGAATAGTTCTACTTAAATGATTTTTTCTCTTTCTTGGACTGCAGTGGTCAGAATATAATTGATATCAGCTTAATTTTTTTGGAATAAATACTTTTTATTCGTAAGTATACGCTTCAAAGCATAAAAGCAAACGTTTTACAGCATCTTTTAAATAGCACTTCTTTAAAAAACTAATAGTTTCCAACAAAGCTTTTTTTAAATTTCTAAAGAAATGCTATTTAACAGAAGCTATGAAACGTTAGCATAAAAACTTTGAAACTTATACTTACGAATAAAAAGTATTCGGTCTAAAAAAATTGAGCTGATATCATGAACACGTTTCCTTTAAACCGTTTATTGAAGACTTTCCGTTCAAGCCGCATAGGGCGTATGCGCCTTACTCTTTACATTTGTTTCTGGCGTTTGCCTTTTTGTTGTAGCTTAAACTAATAGTTTAGCATGGAGCGTATACGTCCCACGGGGCAGGGAACGTGTTAATATTCCGATTACTGCAGCCCAAGAAAGAGAAAAAGTCATTTTAATACAAGTATTTTGGTATACTTTACGTGTAGAATATAATTCCTTTTTGACAAAAGTCTGTTGTTGTTAACCTGACATTTAATCTGTTTAGTTTTAAATAGCACATTTCTCATTATCTCTAAAAATTTCTCAATATATTTAAAAGAAATTTTCGCTTTTTTCTAGATTGGATCTTAGTTCGAAGCTATTAGATTTATAAAGAAATGCTATTGACCAGAAGCTATTAAACGTGTGCTTTCAGACTTTGAAGCATGTACTTACAAATAAATTGTATAGACTCCGAAGAAATTGAGCCTATATCATTTCAATTTCGATCACTGCTGGCCAAGAAAGAGCAAAAGTCATTTTAATATAACTATTTAGGTGCACTTTACGTGTAGAATACAATTATTTTTCGACGAAAATCAACTGTTGTTAACAAGACATCCAATCTGTTTAGTTTCTAATAGCACATTTTTTAAAGCTGCAAAAATATCTTATAATATCTTAAAGAAATTGTCCTACAAATATTTGTGTTAAAGTTGCATGTGCAATAGCAGTTGCAGTGGCAGTCGCATCTCCAGATAAAGTCGCAGTGATAGTTGCAGTAGCATGTGCAGTTCAAGTAGACTTTGAAGTTCCATGTGCTGTAGGAATTTGCAGTTTTATGAGCTGGTTTAGCTGAAGTTGCATGTACAGTTTCAGTTTTATGTGCTTGTGCAGCCTAAGTAGCAGATACAATTACATGTGCAGTTGCAGTTGCTGGTGTACTAGCAAGTTATCTTGCAGCTGCAGTAGCATTAGCAGTTTCTGTGCATTTGCAGTGTCATTAGCAGTAAAGTGGCATGTACATTTGCAGTTGAATATGCAGCTGCAATGGCTATTTTACATGCAGTGGCAGTCGCAGTTGTATGTTCAGTGCAATCGCAATTGCATGTATAGATGCAGTCTCTGTTGCAGATGAATGTGAAGCAGCATTTGCATTTGCAGTTAGCGTTGCAGATAAAATTTCAGTTGCATGAGCAATTTTAGTAGCAGTTGCATTAGCAGTTGCAGTGGCATGTGCAATTTTAGTTTCATTTGCATTTAAAGTTGGAGGTGATTTTTCTGTTGCATATGAATGTGCAGCTTTAGTAGCAGTTGCAGTAGCTTGTGCAGTTGCAGTTGCCTTTTTAATTGCAGTGGTATTGGCCTTTGCAGATGCAGTTGTATGTGCATTTTTAGTTAAAGAAGCAGTTAAATTTGCATGTGCAGTCCGGTTACATATGCATTTTTAATTGCAATTGCATGTGCAGTTGCAGTTGGTAATGCATTCTGATTGGCATATTTAGATGCATTTGAAATAGAAGATTCTGTTGCAGTAACAATTGAAAGTGCATTTTCAGTTGCTAAGAAATATGTTGTTTTATTTGCTTTTGCATGTTTAGTTACAGTCTAAATTGCATGTGCAGTTTCAGTTGCCGGTGAATTTGCAGTGAAATGTGCAGTTAAAGTTGCATTTGCAGTTCCAGTTAAATTTGTAGTTTTAGTGTCGTGTGCAGTGCAGTTTCGTGTGCAGTAAAAGTAGCATTTGCAATAACATTGGCTGGTGTATTTGCAGTTGTATGTGCAGTGCAGTTGCCTGTGCTCTCGTAGTGGCATTTGCGATAACAATTGCTGGTTCATTTGCTGTTGCATGTTCATTAACACTTCTAGTATCATCTGCAATTGCAGTTGCAGTTGCAGCTCCATATGCAGTTCCTTTTGCAGTTGCTTTTTCTTTAGTAGTTAAAGTTTTAGTTAAATGTTTAGTTGCAGTCTTAGTTACAGTTGCATTTGTAGTTGCAATTTTATTTGCAGGGTCTAGTTTAATCACAGTTGCATATGCAGTTGCAGTTGCATTTGCTGTTGCAGTAACAGTTGCAGTTGCATGTAAAGTTGCAGTTGCATTAGCAGTTGCAGTCGCCTTTTTAGTTACAGTTGTATTTTTTTTTAAATTCAGTTGCATGTGCAGTTAGTGTTGCAGTTTTCTCTGCAGTTGTAGTTGCATGTTCAGTGGCAGCAGCATTTGTAAATGCAGTAACAGGTTGTTTGCACTTGTATATGAATATGCAGCTGCAGTAGCAGTTGCAGTAGCATGTGCTTTTGCAGTTTCAGTCCAAGATGTGAGCCTATTTATATGTGCTGTTGCAGTTGCGGTAGCAGCTGCTAGTATAGATGCAATTATAGTTGCAGTACAATATTCAGTTGCAGTTACTTCTGCAGTTGCAGGTGCATTTGCGATTGCAGTTGGTAGTGCATTTAAAGTTGCATATGCATGTTCTGTTGTTGTTGTACCTGCATGTGCAATAGCACCTGCAGTTGCAGTGAAATGTGAAAATGCAGTTAAATGTAACGTTGTAGTAGAATTTGCAATTGCAGTAACAGGTAAATTTGCAGATGCATATGCATGTGTTGTAGCAGTAGCAGTTGCGGACGCATGTGCAGTTGCAGTTGCATCTGCCGATGAAGTGGCAGTTGCAATAGCATGTCTAGTAGCTGTTGCATTAGCATTTGCAGTTTTATTTGCATTTGCTGTTGCAGTTTTCGTTACAGCTGCATGCAAAGAATCTATTGCATTCGCAGTTCTTTTTGCTTATATAAGTCCAGCCGCATGTGCAGTGGCAGTTGCACGACGTGTGCAGGTAAAGTTGCAGTAGCAGCTGCATGTGCAGTGGCAATTGCATCTACAGTTGCATTTGCCTTTTTAGTTGCAGTTGTATTTGCATTTGCAGTTAAAGAAGCAGTAAAATTGGCATGTGCAGAGCAGTTTAATATGCAGTTTCAATTGCTATTGCATGTGCAGTGGCAGTTTCAGATGTTAATGCTATTTTAATTTCAGATGTAGTTGCTGATGCATTTAAAGTTTCTGTTGCAGTAGCAGTTGCATGTTCATTTGCAGTTTTAGTTGCATTTGCAGTTGCTGTGGCGTGTGAAGTGCAGTTGCTTGTGCAGTTAAAGTAGCATTTAAAATTTTATTTGCTGTGACATTTGCATTTGCATACAAATGTGTATTTTTAGTTGCAGTTGATTGTGCAGTTTTATTTAAAATTGCAGTTGCTGGTAATTTTGCAGTGGCAAATAAATATGCAGCTGCAGTAGCAATAAAAGCTGCATGTGGAGTTGCAGTTGCATAGAAATATGTTGTTGTATTAGTATTTGTATGTGCAGTTATAGTTGCATTTGTATGCGCAGTGCAGTTCCTTGTGCAGTGAAAGTAGCATTTGCCATCGCCTTAGCTGGTGCATTTGCAGTTACATAAAAGGTTGTAGTTTTAGTTGCAGTTGCATGTGCCTTTGCAGTTGCAGTTGAATCAGCAGTTGCAGTTGCAGTAGCAGTTACATGTGCAGTGCAGTTTCCTGTGCTTTTGTATTAGTATTTGCAGTAACATTTGCTGGTGCATTTGCTGTTGAATGTTTATAAAAAGTTGTAGTGGCAGTTGCATTTGCAGTTCCAGTTGCAGCTCCATGTGCAGCTCCTGTTGCATTTGCTGTTTCCTGTGCAGTTGCAGTTCTAGTTTAATTTGCAGTTGCTGCCTCAGTTACAGTAGCATTTGTAGTTGCAATTGCATTTGCAGTTTCATTTGCTAGTTTAGTTGCAGTTGCATAAGTATTTTCAGTAGCATTTGCAGTCGCAGTAATAGTTGCAGTTACATGTGTAGCTGCAGTGGCATCTGCAGTAGCAGTCGAATTTTTAGCTGCAGTTTTATTTGCATTTGCAGACTCAGTTTCGAGTGCAGTTGCTAATGCAGTTGCATTTGCAGTTTTAGTTGCATGTGCAGTTGCAGTTGCATTTGCAATCGCGGTTACTGGTGATTTTGCAGTTGCATATGAATGTGCAGCTGCAGTAACATGTGCAGTTTCAGTGGCATTTGCAGTTAAAAATGCATTTTGAGTTAAAGTAGCATGTGCAGCAGCAGTTGCATCTTTAGCTTTAGTTGCCTTTTCACATTTAGTTTTATTTGCATTTGCAGATTCAGTTGCATGTGCAGTTTCTGTGGCAGTTGCATGTGCAGTTGCAGTTGCTGGAGTATTTGCAGTTAAATATGCAGTGGCAGTTGCATTAGCAGTTACAGTTTAGTGGAAGTTGCATGTGCAATAAAGATTTATGTATTATTGCAGTTGCTAGTGTATTGGCAGGKAAGTATGCAGCTGCAGTTGCACTTTCAGATGCAGTAGCTGTTGCAGTAGGATGTGCAGTTTAGTGGCTTTTGCAAGGTTAGTTGCAGTTTTCATTGCAGCTGCATGCGAAGTTACATTTGCATATAAGTTGCTAATGTAATACAAGTTGCATGTGCGTTTGCAGTTGCCGTTTTATTTGCAGTATTATTAGCAATTGCTGGTGAAGATGAATTTGCAACTGCCTTTGAATATGCCGCAGCAATAGCATTTGCAGTGGAATGTGCAGTTACAGTTGCATCTGCAGTTGATATTGTACTGAAAGTTACAGTAGCATGTGCTATAGCAGTTGCATCTGCAGTTTCTGTAGCTTTTTCAGTTTTAGTTTCATTTGTATTTGCAGATTTAGTTGTATGTGCGGTTTTTGTTGCACGAGCATGTGCAGTTGCAGTTGCTAGAGAATTTGTAGGTTAATATGCAGTTGCAGTTGTATAAGCAGTTTTAGTGCAGTTGCTGTTGCATGTGCAGTAAAGTTTTATGTACAGTGGCAGTTGCTAGTTTATTTGCAGGTTAATATGTATTGGCAGTTGCAATTTAAGATGCAGTAGCAGTTGCAGTAGCATGTGCAGTGCTGTTGCAGTTGCATGTTCTGTTGTCGTTTCCGTTGAAGCTGGATTTAAAATTGCATTTGCATTTGCAGTTGCCGTTTCAGATATAAGTAAAAAGGCATGTGCAGTTTTAGTTGGACTGCATGTGCAGTTTAAGATGCAGTTACAGTTGCATGTGCAGATGCTATTGCATCTAAAGTTCTAGTTGCCTTTTTAGTTAAAGCTGTATTTGCATTTGCAGATCCAGCTGCAAGTGCAGTTTCTGCTGCAGTTGCATGTGCAGATGTAGTTTCCTGTGCAGTTGCAGTTGCGTTTGCAATTGCGTTTACTAGTGATTTTGTAGTTTAAGATTAATGTGCAGCTGCGGTGGCATGTGCAATTTTAGTAGCATCTGCAGCCCAAAATGCTGTTAGAGTTACAGTAGCATGTGCAGCATCAGTTGCATCTGCAGCTTTAGTTGCCTTTTCACATTGAGATTTATTTTTATTTGCGGATTCAGTTGCATTTCCAGTTGCTGTTGCAGTGGCATGTGCAGTTGCAGTTGCATTGGCAATTGCAGTTACTGGTGATTTTGCAGTTTAATATGAATGTGCAGCTGTAGTATTATTTGCAGTTTTAGTAGCATGTGCAGTTGTAGTTGCATCAGCAGTTGAATTTGCAGTTAGAGTTGCAGTAGCATGTGCAGTTGCAGTTACAGTTGTTAATGAATTTTTGTTTGCATATGTAGATGCAGTTGCAATAAAAGTTTTTGTTGCAGTAGCATTTGCTGGTGCATTTGCAGTTGCATAGAAATGTGTAGTTGCAGTTGCAGTGTTATGTACAGTCTAAGTTGCCGTTGCATGTGCAGTTGCAGTGGCAAATACATTTGCATCTGCAGTTAAAGTGGCAGTGAGAGTTGCCGTGATATGTGCAGGTAAAGTAGCATCTGCAGTTTCAGTGCAGTAGTATTTGCAATTTTCTAAGCTGGTTTAGCTACAGATGCATGTTCATTTTTGTTGCAGTTGCAGATGCATGATCAGTTGTTGTGGGATGTGCAGTCTAAGTTGCTTTTTTTTTTTAAGTTGCAGTTTCATATGCAGTTGCATGGGCAGTTGCATTGGCAGTGTAAATTGCATTTACACTTGCATGTGCAGTTTCAGGTGCATTGAAAGTTGTAGTTGCAGTGAGAGATGCAGTGGCGTGTGTAGTAGTGGTTGCATCTGCAGCTTTAGTTGCCTTTTTAGTTACAGCTGTATTTGCATTTGCAAATTCATTTGCATGTGCAGTTGCATGTGCAGTTGAAATTGCTTGTTTATGTGCAGTCGAATTTGCTGCTGCAGTTGCCTTTTCTGCTTCAGTAGAATTTGCAGTTGTATAGGCAGTAAAGATGCATAGGCAGTCTTATATGCAATTTCCTGTGCATGTGGTGTTGCAGCTGCAGTTTTTGTCTAGTAACAAGTGCAGCTTCAGTTGCAGTAGCAGCTGGATGTACAGTAGCAGTTGGTGGTTCACCTGAAGTAGCATATGCATGTGCAGTTTTAGTTTCAGTAGCATGTGCAATAGTAGTGGCAGTTGCATTGAATTGTTAAGATGCAGTTGCATGTACAGTTTCAGTTAAACGTACAGTTTCAGTTGCATGTTTATGTACAGTTTAAGTTTCAGATACAATCGCATGTGCAGTTGCAGTGGCTTGTGAATTAGCCAGTGAATATGCAGTTGTAGTAGCATTTGCAGTTGCATTTGCAGTGAAGTTGCATGTGCAGTGGCAATTTCATCTTTAGTTGCAGTTGCTTTTTTAGTTGCAGTGGTATTTGCATTTGCAGGTGGAGTTATATGTGCATTTTAGTTAAAGTAGCAGTTGTATTTGCATGTGCGGGGCAGTTACTTATGCAGTTACATTCACCTTTTTAGTTCTAGTGGTTTTGGCATTTGCAGATTCAGTTGCATTTACAGTGGCATGTGCTCTTGTAGTTGCTTGTATATTTGCAGTTTAATTAGCTGCTGCATTTGCCTTTTTTGCTGCAGTGGCATTTGCAGTTGTATAGGCAGTGAAACTGTAAATGCAGTCCTATATGCAATTGCCTGTGCATTTGCAGTTGCAGTCGCAGATGTGTGTTTAGTTACAAGTTCAGTTTTAGTCTTAAAAGCAGCTGCATGTGCAGTTGCAGTTGCAGTTGCAGTTGTAGTTGCACGTGCAGTTGCAGTTGCAGTTGTAGTTGCATGTGCAGTTGCAGTTGCAGTTGTAGTTGCATGTGGAGTTGCAGTCTCGTCTGCCGTTGCAGGTGCTTTTCCAATTGCAGTAGGTGGTGCATATGAAGTAGCATATGCATGTGCTGTAGTAGTTTTAGTTGAATTTGCAATGGCAGTAGCAGTTGCAATTCCAGTTTGTAGTGCATTTAAAGCTTCATATGCATGAGCTGTTGTAGTAACATTTGCAATTGTAGTTGCTGGTGATTTTGCAGTAAAATATGCTGTGCAGCTGCACCATCAGTTGCAGTAGCATGTACACTTGCAGTTACAGTTAGAGTTTCAGTAGCATGTGCAGTAGCAGTTGCATCTGCAGCTTTATTTGCCTTTTCAGTTATAGTTGTATTTGCATTTGCAGATGTAGTTTTATAAGCATTTGCAGTCTAAGTAGCAGTTTAATTTGCATGTGCAGAGTAGTTACATATGCAGTTGTAAATGCAATAGCATGTGCTGTTGCTATGAAACGTTTTTTTTTAAGCTTTAAAGCGTATACTTA